TTTAATTTTTTCCCTCTTCGAGTCTTTATTTTATAATGAGGGTCTATGAGCTGGAAAGCTTTTTCTTCGGGCCAACTTTGCGAATACTTCAGATCAATAATTACTGCACTCAGTCGATCATCGGTCGGGTTCGTCCTGGTAATTTGCAACCAATGCTTCCCGGTTTGATGTTTGAACGGCGACCTGCTGCGACTGATGGGCATTAGTCGAGCCCTGCCTACAGGAGGGCCCCCCTTTACCCCCCAACTAATTATAACACTCATTACCGAAGTTTATTAATCAATGTTAGACTGAATCAATGGCAGCTTCGTACGAATCCGCAATGATGTATTGATAGTTCCGCCTGTCTTCGATGGAGGATTTTACCAGAAGATGTTCAAAGGATTATAGGTTGACTTAAGCGCTGTATCTGTACGGATTTCTGAATTTTCAGTCAACAATTAAAGTCTGCTATTTCCAATACTGTTCTGTGAAAATTGCAGAAACCACAATCGGCCTGTCGTCACTAACTCGACGTCCGGGTACCAGAAAAAGGAACTTTTGATGCTGCGAAAGCCAGAAGTTTTGTTAAAAAGTTACAGTTTTAACAGATGTTTTTTTGGTATTCTGCGGAAATACTTAGCTTTAGATCCTTACAAGACTGTTGGCTCAAGAACTGAAGCTACTTGACCATCAATAGCGTCGTTTCTATGCAGGTTGGGCTTCAGGGGAGCAAGAAATTTGTGCGGAATTTGGAGGAAAGGATGAACCAAACAAACAGTTTTGGTAAAGTTTGGTCATGAATACCAAATTTTCGCATTCGGTTTGAAAATAATCCCCATGAAGAGATTCATGGCAAACTTTTGCTTCCGGAAAAAGTTACTATTTGTTGTGGTTTATTGAGCATAGGCACCTTTTCTTTTTTGTAAAAAATTGCTGTTTCAACAATATGTTAAATATTTCGAATTTTGCTTTGAATGGAAAGTGGGAAAACAACATAAGCGGCATAAACTACGTCAACGACAGACTGCTGCAACTAACAGTTAAACTTCAGAAGAGCAAAACAAGTCATATAATCAGTGTTTACATCAACAAACCCCGGGTAGAGATAGACACTTTTTACCAAAACTTGCAGAGAACCCTCGGCGGTATTCCAAAGCAAGATGAAGTAATTATCCTGGGAGATCTTAATGCAAGGATTGACAATGAAACAATAGTGGGGATCAAAAACCGATTTAATGAAGAAACAATCAACGACAGCGGTGAACAACTTATACAGATATGCGCCCTTAACGAACTGCGAATTAACCACAAATTCTTTCAACATAAACCGCAACATAAATTCACATTTGAAAACACACGAGGACAAAAGTTCATAATAGATTATATAATAACAAACAGAAACATTCACCCCGCCCAAGTGCTGGACGTAAGAGCTTTAAGTTCCGCAAATGCTGTTACTAATCACAATCTCGTAATGGCAAAAATAAGAGTCACGACATACCAAATAAAGAAAAAACAGAACGA